GGGGAAAAGGAGCCCTTTTCCCCCCCCCCCCCCCCAAGTCAGTCGGAGTTACATTATGGAATTTACTTTTGCACTCACTGTTTAATATAAAATGGGGATTTTAACCAGATATTGATAAATTGTGTTACAGGATTATTTCTGATGATTTTGTTCTTTTTTTGAATACCTTGATTCAAAAAGAATAAGTGATTCCTTCAATATTCTTCGTTTCTCCTTGATTAGAATTCCTTAATTTTTCTGTTTAAAGCTGAAGACAAATGTATTTGAACATGTGCCTGCCTTAGGCAGCAGTGGTCTTTACTGCAGGTGAAATCTTTGGGTGATTATATTTTAAAAGTGCTTCACAGAGGAGGATAAGAATCATTATCCCTGTTTTACAGATGGGGAAACTGAGGCACAGAGCTGACGTGAGTTGCGCAGCATGATGCGGTAGGCCGGTGGCAGATGTAGGACCCGCACGCCACTTGTCTGACGCGTGGTTTGATCTCCCTGTGAAGAGCAGAGCCCCGTCCCTGCCCCATGCTGAGCTCCCCACAGTCCCTCCAGCTGCTGAGCGGGTGGCACTGCTGCTCCCGCTCAAAGGGGCCTTACTTCTCTGTGTGCAGGCTCGAGTATAAATGGGATTGATGCACTCTTCAGTTTGCTTCTTTTTAGGCATTTAACATAAGATAATTTCTCTTGAGTTGCTTTCATCCCCCTTATTACTGCTTTTTATTTGCAGCAATAAGGCTTTTGTGTTCTTCAGTTCTGAGCCCAGTGTAAAATTCTGAGCCCAGCTGGACAAGAAGGCTGCCTGGCATCGGTTAAGCTTGTAGCACAGGATTGTTTTGGTTTATTTAGGTTTTCTTGGTGTTACATAGTGTGTCAGGGATATTACTGTTCCATCTAGAGCGATGTCGTTTGCTGGGCAGTGAGGTAATGTTTCTTGGGCTAGAGCCCTCTGTGGCAGATCTCCTTCCCAGAGGGTGTCAGTATTGCCACGTGGGATGGTTGGGAACAGACAAACAGAAAACACACGTCTTTGGGTGCAGCAAAGATTTTGGTTGCGCTTGTGGTTTGAGAGCCCACAGGCTCCCACAGCTGAGTTCAGAGAGAAGAATCTGGTCTCTGCGCTTCTGCTTCATGTGAGAAAAACATCTTGGGAGTCTCTCTAAGGCTTCACAGTGGGATTTTTGAGACAATTTATTCCACAGCTCAGCTTTTACTGAGCTAAAACGTGTGAGTTTGTCTCTGCTGAGCCAGGAGGACTGGTCAGAGAATGTTGAATTTCTAAAGCTCGCAGCCCAAAGAAGCTGCTTGCACTGGTGCTCCCCGTCCCTCCGAGTCCAACAGCGCAGCCAGGCGTGGCCATGGCACAGCGGTACAGTAGTGACAGATCTCTCCCATGCGTCCTGCGCAGTCCCAAGGAAGGACGGATGATCCCCTCAACCCTCCCCGTCACCGTAAGGTTTCCATTGTCCTTGGCAGGTGAAGTGGGGAGGGTGAGAGAGCATGCAAGGATTTCCTGCTCCTTCTGTCGGACTTTGGAGACTCCTGCAGTAGCAGAGAGCTCCCTTGCCTGAGCTGTTTGCTTTTTGCCAATCTCACACACCGGTTCTACCTTGAGCTCAAGGCTAGAGACTAGTCGACTCTATTCAGCTTTCTTTCCAGCAGTTCTTTGAGCTGTAGGAACGTAAACAGAGCAGTCACTTGCAGGAAGCATTAATGGCTTCAGCAATTCATTAATCAACAGAATTTTGAACTTGAGAGCAGATCTTAGCGAGGCAGTCCAGCCAGCTAAGCTGACTTCCTGTGTCCTAGAGGTTGTTTTTATTTTTCCTTATAAAGCGGTAAAACATGGAGGCTCCTTTGAGTAGTTCTTCAGCTCTCATTATAATTCCCAAAGCTTTTGTCCAATTAGCTTCCTATTTTCTCTTGGCACAGCCTTAGTGTAGGGGAGGGGTTAAGGAGGGAAGCTTGTTGGAGAGTTGGTTGTAACCGCGGCTGCCGCAGGAACATGCTGTGAATTCCTCCTGTGCAGGAAACGCAGAGAGCGGCTGTGGGACTGAGCACCCCTTGCCAGCCCGGGAAGTGAATCAGAGAGGCCACAAGCGTAAGCATGGGTGGGCAAGGAAGGGTGGCGTCACCGAGAGCTGAGGGGGCACTTGGAAGGTCGTTGCCTGATAAATGGCGTCACGGCTCTGCAGTGTTTGAGGGACAGGGGTACCCCCTTTGGGCAGTACTTTCCTGGCTCCCTTTCTGTAGGACAGACCTGTGCTTCCTTTGGAAAATGCTGTACAGCTGATAGGCTGCTCTCAGTTCTGGTGTCTCCAAAACCAATCCAAGGGGAAAGAAAGAACTGATTCTCCGAGTATCTTTCAATAATCCCAATTCTCTGTGTAACTTAGCGAAAATTCTTGGAGTGTTTCTCTGAGACTGACAAGTTCAGCGTGTCCTTTTTTTGTTGTTGTTTAGATTCTGTTAGAGGAGCTATTTTGGTTTGTCCTATCTGCACTGAAAATCCAGAGAGAGTGCTGCAGGAGGAGTAGACCTTTCTAGAAGCTTATCACTAAACCATTTATTAATTTCATTTTTTTGTACAGGTAGAAAAGGAGGCCACAAAGGCCGAGCAAGACAGTACACAAGTCCTGAAGAGATTGATGCCCAGCTCCAAGCAGAAAAGCAAAAGGCAAGGGTATGTGTTTGCCTATGTTACATGCTTACTGTCATAAGTTCTGGCTTGTACAGCATGCTTAACTTGCAGTTCATGAGAAATGGCAGCTTAGTCAAGTGTTGCAGGTCATTCTGTCAGTGATCACAATATGAATTCTGACTATCTCTGGCTGGGGAGACTGCAAGGTGTGATCCAGTCTGGTTCCTCACAGAAGTGAGGCCAGGTAGACCAT